TATTACTGTTTATCTGTTTAATATTCATATAAAGATGAAATCAAATTTTGCTTAGAAAGACTAATATAATAATCTTCTAGCTCATCAGTTAACTAAACTCATTCACAATGTATTTTAGTTGGTATATTTGTTGACATTTGAAACAATTACTGTAGATGTATTTCACTGAATACGTTAACGAGAGTGATAGGGCATTTAAATATAGCTAGTTTTGATGTGTTTTGTTCGCATAATTCTACAGTTAATCTAGTACACATACTACTTTGTGTAAATGAAAAAAAAAGGTATTGCTGTAAATCATAAGAACACGGTTAATGAGTCTGAATATGCTTAAACTGACAAAACATAATTCATCTGTAAAAACTGTGTGTACAGTAAAGATAAAAAGTGCAATGAAACATATCTAGTTCAGTAGAAGTAAGAACAGTCTATTATTGTTTGTAAAAATAAAAATTTCAGTATCTTTGTAAGAAGCAGTCATTCAAAAAATTTATCTGAATGCAAAAATCGTTGATAACTGCTTGTAAAAACTTATCAGATTTTTGCAGGAGATTCAAAGAAAGCAGACTAAAAACTATTCGGTTCGATAGAGTAATCGATGCTCTATTCAACTATATTAAAGTTAGAAACTTTTAAGGTTATATATAAGTACAATAAATTAAGAAAAACTATCAAAAATAATATATTGTTGTCATCTTTTCTTGATCTAAGTAGTACATTTGAACAGAGTTGTTCGATATTTTATAGTTACATAAGAAGACCGATTTGCTCATCTTTATATAAATAGTTGGTTTTAATGAGACATGTCCTATATTGACATTTTAATTTTCTCCTAGAACTGATATTCCAGCTAGAAGTGCGGTCGAAACAGAACGTGAATAGATTTTTAATATTCAAGCGACTTAAGGTATAATTTCAAAGTTTCATCATGATATCAATTGAAGTTTTATTTAACATATATTTTATCTGTAATCATTGTAAAAAAATACTGTCTACATGTTTCTTACTTCTAAATAGAAGAAGGCTTGAAAATCAATAAAATATTTTTCTTTATCAATAATGGTACTGAGAAAAAATATTGTTTGAACATTCAATTATTTAGCATTGTATAAGAAAAGTTGCTTTTTCAAGATAATATAACTTGATTTAACAACTTATAAGAAAGTCAAAAGGATTTCAAACAAAATTTGATGTGATGCTTTCATAGATATTTTCAAAAAATGATATAGTATAGAGTTCTAGAAATCTGATGTAAATCGCTTGAATCTTTAAATGTATCAAAAAAAATGTGTTTCATCTCTATATAAAAGTCAAAGTAAAATAGTGTAAACCTATTTCTAAATTGACATATTGCACATAAATAACATATGTGGAAAATGAATAATTTTCGATAACCCTTCCATGTCTGACAAAATCAAATTTAAATAATTTGCATAATAAGAGCCCAAGGACTTTTCATATTGAGTTGATTCGATTTAATATTTTATTTTCATTTAATAAAAAAAGAAGACTTTCTCTGGAAGCTCAGTTCTTTTCCTATATGAACAAAAAGAAATACAAATATTACTATAAAGAAAAATACATGCAAAGTTTNCTTCTTTGTTGTAAAATGATGAAATTAATTCTACTACTTGGTAAAAACCGGCAAAAATCTTATTAACTGCTGCTAAGTGATGAAATGTGTTCGATTCAGCTTGATAAGAAGCATAGGCATGTATTTTTTAGGTGTTTTATTGTATGTAATTCCAAGTGATTCCAGGTGATTCTGAGTGATTCTGAGTGATTCTGTGTGATTCTGACTGATTCTATTGATTCCGAGCAATTCCGATGATTCTATCACCATAGAATCAGCTTTTCCCCCCTTGCAGAGGAAACATTTGCATTTGCTATAAGTAAGGTTCAAATTAAAAGAGTTAACGACGAGAGAAAAACTTTTCATAGAAATGCTGCATCCCATGATGCTCTAAGAGATCAATAATATTGATTTTTGAGTCAGCCGTAAGCAGTCTAAATGATATCTAATGATCTGATTAGAATGACAATCAACTCTTGGTATCTGAATTGACTATTGCGGAAGTAATAAACTCAATTTTGGGAGAGAATTGGTTTCGTTGCTCGATAATCCATCCTCATTTATGATAGAAGAACAAGGTTTTCACAGTAGTCTCTAATTAAAATAAATAAGTTGAGCAAATGCAAAAGAATTTCTAATGCAAGTCACTTGCCAATCTTTGCATCGTTAAAGGTGAGCGCATGCTTCTTTGGTTGTACACAAATTATTCTAGATTCTAAACTATTTTTAATACTAAAACGATTCGACCAATAGATTGTTATAAGATTGTAAATAAACTTAATTCAAATGAGGAAGTTGAAGCCAATAGTAAATGTTTAAATCATTGAATTTATGCACACACAATCGATGCTATTAAAGTACTTGCAAGAGGTTTCTCATAATTTATTTTTTTAACTTGTGTTTTTTTTTATTTTGCATTTGCTTAACTGATTTTCTCTAGTTACTATTATGGTATAGCATTATTTTATTAAGAAAATTCGTGCGAACCGTCTTTCGTATTTGAGAATTCAAAATTCTTTTAAAAAGAAATCTTTCTTTTTTTTTATGAAATTCTTGGCTAAGCGACGGTGACCATATATTTTACTAATACCAATTTACCTATAGGTGTGATAACCAGTTTATTGGCAGCTTTATTGCAAGGTTATTGGCCACTTACTCATTTTGTTTATCTTATTGTTATGTATGTGTATTGTCTTGTTCGTTTTTTTATGGATAAAGAATAGATAGTGATAACGTAAAAATGTTTTTACATATCGCGCTATAATCGAATGTTCACTCAAAAACAAAGGAAAAATTGATCTTGGTTGAGTGTGTGGATGAGAATATATGATTGTAGGTGCGTGTTTGATGATGTGGGTGTGGTTGTTGTACGAAAGAAAGACCCACAGTTACACCTACACCACACACCCAGACTCTACTTCGAAACCCACATCTACACCTACTCGCATTTCTCCTACTGCTTGGTCTCTATCACTTACAAATATGAACTAATCTTGGTTGTCAACTCATCTATTCGTAGAACGTGCTCAGCCGTTACGCCATTTCATTTTTTTGTTTTCTATTAGCTATATTTCCGTCATAACAAATGCTAGCAACATGAAATTTTCATCGAAGATAGAGGGCATGCAGAACTCATTCGGAAAAATTGCATTGTTATTGGTTGAGTTATTCGAAAAATACCGATCGTTACAGAATTTCAAAAACTGGACCAATTTTTTAGAAGGATGTAGGATTTTGCATTTCTCTACGAAATAAAGCGAGATTCAAATAAACCTTCTGTAGGACAATTGTACAATTTTTAATGATCTTTTAGATTATCACCTTATTTTCGATATAGAACAATGCATGAAGAAAAATTTAACTATATCTGACATTATGAAAGTTCATCTTTTTCATGTTTTAAAGTTGAAGATTTTAAATTTTTAAATTTTAACTTCTTCTGACAAATATCCATCTTGCTCTGATCTATGGTAACTGTGAATATCTCTTTTATAATTCACTTCAATCATTTTAATTATTATGTAGAAATTCTGTAGCAAACAAAACACGCTATGAAGCAATTTCATTACGGAGTTTCATAAAAAAGTAGATATTTTGTGAACACATTCTCTCACTTTAGATTTATGCGTATGCTCTGTAAGGGGCATAGTTCTGAAAGAGCAGGAAGTTCGCCATCGACTTATATCAAATTCGACTGAACTAAACTTGTTAACTACTAATAAGCTTCAGTTGATTGTTGCTCAGAGAAAGTTTTTCTTGAACATTCGTTGCAACAAAATACAGTCGAAATATTGTTCGACATCTAAGTATTTTAAAGCTTTTCACAAGATCTGTAGACTAACGCTAATTCTCTTGTCCTGTACTAATCATAGAGCTTTCTTTCTGTTCATAAAATAATATATCATTTTATTAGTTTAATTAACATCAGAAAAAAATCAAATTGTTGTCGTGCTGTCCATGGTTAGGATTGTACATATTGAGGGGGATGATGGCCCCAAAGCTTAGGAGCATTTGTTTTTTTTTCTTCAGTCGAACTGCTTACGTTTTTTTAAACTTTTTTTGATGATCAATGGCGCCAAAAATGATCGACCCTCTAACCCGTCAGTATTCTACTTTAGCAAAAAAAGATTTCCATCATTTTTGATCGATAAATCTATTAAGCACTTGTCTATCTTCTCGACTTGCAAGCATTAGACGGAGAATGGTTTGAATATTATCTAGTATATCAAAGAAATGTTTTATTTTGTTAGACCTTTTTCCTTCTTTATTATTATTCTTCTTGTTACTATCGATCCTTTTCCACCAAAAAAACGCACACAATTGAAAAAAAACAAAAAAGCAACAAAATGTGTGTTTCTCTCTTTCTCCTTTTCCATTTTTTACTTCCTCTTTATCTACCGGATAACATGTAGTATAAAGAAAAGGAGCAATGCCACTAACATGATACGATAGGAGAAGGGAGAAGCCTTCTTATGCCAGAAGATGTCTCCTGACATAACGTATTTGTTGATTGTATTGATAAAAAAATACGATTTCATTGATTCGCTTATTTTTTATCAAATTTTTGAGTCGACTAACAAATAACTGATTGGAATATGTCAATGATAATGCTCTAGTTTTCTTGGTATATTCATAAGGAAGTAATTTCAAGATTTCTTTTCGAATTGTTTTTAGAAATAGATTATTACGAACGATCGATTCAGTTAATGATATCATTTGCATTCGATTGCAAAGAGTCAATTCGTACCAATAATCACTTTCAAATGTACATATTAAACATTGAATTGAAAAAAGAAGTGTATTGATTAGGATTCGATACATAGAAACGCATATTAATAGAATTTGATGATTGATCAGCCTTCAATGATTTCAATTGATAAAGTTGATTTAATAAAGTATGATAAACGCCAAATCTACTCTGATCATTTCAATGTTCACATTTCAAACGATAACCGTGGGAAATAATCAATGCTTTAAACATATCAATAAGATGATTGCGAAATAATCGAGAACAATTTAAAATAAATTGTCTGCGAGATATGAATTCTACGAAAAAAGAATCCATAAGAAATATGCTTTGTCCTAAAAATGTATCGTATTCAAGATCAATGCCATGAGTAAGAATAAGAGAACAAATCTTATCAACATTAGCAATATCAAGATTCGACGAAGATTTTAATTTATGAAATTCATCTCGAAGTTGGAAACGAAAATAACGAATTTTTTCAGGAGTACGATTATTAAGTTTAGATAAGAACGTGACCATTTTTGATTGTAATTCATTACTCAATTGAATATATTTTTCTCTGAGATATGCAACAATGCACATTTGTAGATACTCAATAATGTCTTTTTCATCCCCTGTGGTTTTAATCGATGATAATTTTTCTAATAAACCTTGAAATGTTACAGAATTGTATAAATGATTGAAGTTTTCGTCACCTACAGTTTGATATACAAAAATTTAGTCGATAAATGTGAACGTCGATCTAGAAGAATATTATTCAGATGTTGATTTAAGCCAATATATGTTTGCAGTAAAGATCGAATACCACCAGAATATTCGACAATAATCATAAGAATTTCATTAGAGAAAGTTTCAAAAGTAGACGACAACATGTTCGGTGTTTTTTTTCTGTTGTGATTTTAAATGAAGAGTAATTGTCGAAATAAGATATGCTTTTATAATTTCGAACGATCAACAAGTTATTGCATCATATGTTGACACACACACACATGAGTCATTATTTTGATTTGTTTATACTGAAGAATGATCTCGCATAACACAACAGCTTTTGAAAATTAATTGAGTACAAAAGAATTGTCTTTTTGGATCTGCAATGAGAATGATAATTTCATCTTTGAATTAGTTTCTTTACTTTTGTTCGATAATGGCTGTCATCAAAAGTTAAGATCGATAGAGCATGAGAAAAAAAAAAGAAAAATCAACATCAGATATGATGAATAGTCCATGTAATACGACATATACCTAACTAATGAAACAAACAATGCTTCGATATGCATTTTAATTTACTTGAGACGGGTGTGGGTGTGGGGTGTGGCTGTGGGTGTGGGGTGTGGCTGTGGGTGTGGGGTGTGGGTGTTCAGAGAAGATCTACACCCACACCCACACCCCACCCACACCCACCCAACCCACACCTACCCACACACACACCCACACCCCACCCTCACATGCATATCTCTCTTATTTCTTGAGCTATCACCTTCATTTTTATATCATAAGTACAGTTTCAAATGCTCTTTAAAATGACTATTTTCTTGTTGAAATTACTTGAGTGGTTGCAGACATATATCGATTACAAAAGCTCTGTGAACTTTTTTCCCATACCTTACCAAATCACATGAGTAACTGCGTTCATTACATTATTTATGTCATTCATAGATTCATCTCTCTTCAACACTTTGCGGATATGAATATTGATACGCTAAAGTGCGCTTATTACGAAATTTAATTTGAAAAACTATCGAGGTTTAGAGAAGTTGACAAAAAACTTCTATAAGATATTGTTCAGCGTCATGAGATGTATCAATTTTCAGTTATAGACTTGTTCATATTACTTTCAACTTAAAAAGAATTTTCACCGTTCCATTTCTAGACTGTGTATATAATTCCATAACAAGAGAAAGTCTAACAAAATAGAGAAAAGTAATCAAGTGACCTATTAGGTGATTTATATTGCTATTTTGTGCTTATGCGGATTGGATAGACTTCTATTATATTTGGAAGATCATCATAACTTTGAGACTTGGCATGCATCCAAATTCAATAAAATTCGAATATTTTAAATTTATCTAATTGATTATGAATTATATTAATAAACTGTCGAGCAACAAATATAGTAGGATGTTCCTCATTGACAACCACATAAGTAGACAAAAAATAGTTAGAAGTGCATGCGTTAAAGCATGTTTCTCGACAAAGTTCAGACCGAAAACGGCGTCATTTGGTTTTTTTTGGAAAAAAACGTTTAAATCATATTTTTCTGTTATGCTTTGATTCTAAACAAATAAATTGTAACTTGAAAAATTATGTTATTGCTATGCTCTCAGTAAGTAGTGTTACTATCACTTACTAATTGCTAGTCATCGGTAGTTAGTACTACTCACTTATTACTAATGAATGGTACGTAGTTCGTTTAATTATTCTGTAGTACCTGTAAATGATCAAATATTTAATTCGTCGAAGTTTTAAACGAAAAAAAACATTTTCTACTACAAATAATCGAAATTCTCTCTGTATCTTTTCAATAATATCTCTATGATACAATAGATCGTTAAAACAGATATTATTCCCATTGCTAATATTTAGTCAGAGCAAGAACCAAGATTTTCTTTCATATGCTGCAGTCACACTATCACAAACTGATATGCTAAATAAAGATAGACTTACAATACCTTTTCTATTGAATACCTTTCGTAATTAGACTATTGACAATAGACATACTTGTTCAAAGAACACTATGATATCCTTTCATCAACAGCAATGTATTTTATTGCACATTGAAGAAAGTCAACTCTAGTGTGATTCTGTATACTATACACTATATTAACAAGTAAATAGACAATAGTGATGTTCAAATGCTTTCATGGAAAGTAGAAACTACCATTAATGATACGATATCGAAAATCTTTTCCTTTTTGTCTATTTTGAAAGTAAAAATATCTTTGATTAACAAGTATGATCAATGAAGCAAGGTCAATTAGTCCATTTTCTTATTGTTTATAATTATAAATAAATACGTTCAAGTTTAGTTGTTCCATTATTCAGTTTCAATAGTTAGTCGTTAGTTATTTGATCCCTTTGTCTTTTCATGAAAAAAAAACAAACATAATTTGCCATGCGTCAACACTCGAAACATTTCACTTTCATTTTTGTCTCGTATTTCCGTCCAGTACAGGAAGAAAAGAGAAAAGAAAATTATTTTTTCTCTCCTTCGGTTACTTGCTCGTTCTTTCTTTTCTTTTGTATTCATTTGTGTTCGATCTGATATTTATGGAGCAGCCGTCTAGCTTAGCTATCGGCTTAACTTTTGCTTTGTACTAAGAATCGATGCACGATTCAGTAAAAGTAATGTATATATACTTTGTGCGCATAAGAATTAGCATATCTAAATCAGATAAATGTTTTTTCGGAAGAAAATCTTTCTAAACGAGAGAAAAAGAATATTGTAATTAATGTATTTATCAGTAATGATGAGTCTTTTCTTTTTGAAAAGTTTTTGATATCGATCAAGTTACAACGATCATTATAACTCATTAAGAATTGGAATAGCAATGTTCCAACAGTTATTCTTTAGTCAAATCGTTTGATAAAGAAAGTTTGTTACGAATATGCTTATTGAATGAATTGTTTGATATATTTATAGTTTTGACTAACTATAAAAATAATTTTACGTCTTTGACAGATGAATAAGCTACAAAAAATCTCATCATTCAAGAAAAAAGTAAATAGAAACACTTTTACAAAGGTGTTATTCTCATTTCCAGATTTGATACTACGAATCGATTCAGATGAAGATAAATTTAGTGCCGTGGATAGAATAGAGCATTTTCTGCGTTAATCGTAATGTTTATAGATATATTCACTCCGCAGCATAATTCGTCAGTTATTTTAAATAAGAAATTTGAATTTCTTATTATAAACAGAAAAAACAAAATCTTCTAACAAGAGGATATTTATTTTTGTCACTCAGATGCGTCCATTTATTGTAAATGATATTTGTCAGCAAGATAGAATGTTTAAAGTGAAGAAAAAAAAAGCAGATAGAGCAAAGTAAAGTAGATCGATTTCGATTTGCTGTTTAAAGTTATTACCTTTAGCTGAGATATAAGAATTCAGTCTTATTTTCTGATTCCATAATCATATTACGTTGTGTTTCTTTTTTAATAATTTAATAAGAGATTGAAAGCAAACTGAAAAAACAATCCAAACTCATTGAGTTTCGGTTTTTCGATTGACTCTAACACACAGTTTAATATCAATGTGAAAATCCCTCTTTTGACATTCTCTAGTATCATTCCTTTTTCCGATTAAAAAAATGTTGTGTCATGTGACTCGGTAGATAACGGCATTTTTATTCGTTGAGGCAAAATCAGCTCAAACAGTTAAAGTGCATGTCTACTTGAGATTGGTCTTCTATTCTTTTGAGAGGTTGAATTCATTTTCTCATGATTGTTTGTTCATTAGGATATGAATAATCAAGTAGACAAAACTTCAGTGCGTTAAAAATTCGATATCGAGCTTATTCATAATAGGAATAACGATTATGAACTGAGTTGACTTTAGAAAACTTCCAGTATATCATCTATATTATGTCACATATTGAGGTGAAAACTACATGTAAAAAAATTTTCGTCTTTAATAAGAAGTAAATCATTTTTTTCTTGTTCTTCATAAACAAATAAAATGTATTTCTTTTTGTTTCAATGACTATACTCGTTTTGATTCTACATCAAGCTAGATCATTATTTCACAGTTGCCATGACTAATTAACTACGTTGTTCGACATATATTTACTAGATACTATACCAAGCTCAATACTACTAACCTTGTCGCGAATCATCCAATTAAAATTGCTTATGTGATACGAGAAAGACTCTTAATATAGATTTCATTTAAATGATTGCTTTTGTTTTTTTTTTAGAAACGAGAACAAATGGAAGATCATAAAATATTATCGATGTTAAAACATAGTCAAAATAGTCTTCCAACTGTTCCTCAAAAAACCATGGATCCAAAATTTATAGTCGTATTATTTTGTGTTGAAGCAGGTGCTTTAGTTTTTAATAGTCTTCATGTTAGAGCACCAGAAGTTCATCTTTATAATTCATATAATCAAATACCTATAATCTATAATGTATCTTCTCAAAATTATTCTTGTTTTACAATAGTAAATTATTGTATATATGAACATCAAGATTTACGTTTTCTTAAATTAATACATTTAATATTTATATTAATAATTGTTATGTGTTATTTATTTTTATTTATTATTATACTTCGTAAATGGGAAAATACTAAAATTCGAACGGATTTAGGTATAACATGGTATGGTGCTATACAATTATTAGTTTTATTAACATTAGCATTACATACACTAATAATGGTTATTCTTTATGAACGTGATCATTTAAATATTTATAAATGTAGTAAAGAAAGTCGTTTAGTACGTGGAGAAAATCTTTTTACATATGTTGTACTTAGTATGCTTGAAGTAGCTTATATTGGTTTTGATATATTAAATCGTCAAGCATCAATACATGCATTACATCAAACTTTTGAATATCGTGCACGTGTAGCTGAACATCTAGCATCATCAGAAGATTTTAATCATATTAATATAATGCATCGTCGACAACATTCATCAACGGACAGTTTTGAAACTGTTAATCAAGATTTTGTATTAGAATTAGTTGAATTTTAAATATTTTGTATTTATGTTTCATTATTTTTGAAAACAATACTAGTAAAAATAAACTATTGAATTTATTTTATCAGTCTTGAATATATATATATGTAGATTTCTAATTTGAAAGGAAGGATGCATTATCATAAAAAGTTTGTTGAAGTATAGGGGCAAAATTTTGTATCCTCTTCTTCTCACAGACACTTTACGACGTAGCCAACTGTTACAGATAGTGGTCAGCAGGACCAATTATTTTTAGTCATAATCTCAGTCAGAAACAGTTTTTTAGTTTTGGTTTCACGATAAGTAATAAATGTATTAGCGAAAAATATAATATCATTTTCTAGTAATGTCTATAAGCACGACACATCTTGAATGCCCTCTAATATCCTACCCTTTGGAGACTCATTACTATTTTTTGTTTAATAATACTTCGTCTATTCTCGACGTTTATGTTTTTGACAATCCTACTGTTTACGAGAAAAAGAATTAATTGTAATTACTATCAAAATTGTAATAGCAAATATTGAAATGATTGTTGCTGAATAATTTTCGTATAAACTTTTAGAAGACATGAGTTGTAAGAATACAATATTAGACGCACGTTTTACAAGACTACAAGAAATATCACTCACAATGAAAAAATATTATTTCCGCTCTTGGAACAAGTTGGGACCATGTTACTTATATCTAGTTGTGGAATTTCATTTTTTACTTTGTAACATCTATTTCTCATTAATGGCAAAAGCAAATTTTTTGAAACTTTTATTATAGATAAAGACCATTTAGATTTATTATGAGTAAAAAGTTCTTTGATTTTCTATTAGCTCGAGTTGAGCTATTTAGAAAATGATGTCTGTTACGAATTTTGTTTTAGCGTAGTTGAGCGTTGAGTATTTTACTACGAAATGAAGACATATATAAATAAACTTTCTTTATAAAGAGTGATTCTGTTTAAAATGTTAGATCATTTCGTAACAAGGTTAACTGCATCGAATAACAAAGTAAATATAGTATTCGTTATAGAGTTTCATCCTTGTGTCCAAACAACCGCAATGGATATCAGGATGAATGGAAAAAAAGTTAAAAGCAGCAAGATGTTGCTTACCATTATTGAATTCTGCATAAAATGGTGTATTTTTCACTTGACTTCAACTGAAAAGATGTTTCGATTCGAGAAATTTTTGAGAAAAATACAAGTTGAAGTTTTAATTAACGAAAGGCTCGATTTCGTTCAGAATCCAATGTTAATTCCAAATATGTACATATTGATGAACAAGATACTGTACAAAATACTTAATGGTCCAGAAACACTGCAAAATTCGGATAATAACGAAATTCTGTAATGCAGTATTTCTAGAGAACCGATATGAATATTAAATCAGACTGCGCTCAAAATGAACTTGTTCGGTAAAGCTTGTTGAATTCTATTTGGATATGTCATTTTTTTGTTGCGGCAATTAGCAACATAAACGAATAAAATACGTACATTATAACAGAACTTCGTTATCAAATATCATCATAAATAAAGACGATTTTTGAACTCATTACCTTACTTCATAAATATGTAACATTTACACGAAGATCATATGTTCAAAGAATACTTTGGTGTCTACTCGGTTTATAACTAATAGAAGAAATTTTTTTTCTGTTGATCAATCCTTGTTTGATGATGTATTCCATTCTCATCTTTTACATGAATTTTTGAATCTTTCACTCTAAAAAAAAGATTTCATGTGTCCATAGCAGTCAATGTTGCTCAGAAATAGAAATGCTTCTATTTAATATTATAAGTTTTTATGTTTTGATTATGATTAATAATTCGATGATTGTATTGAAGAGATATTGTTCATGTGCAGTATATTTCTTAAGTTTAACCATACACTGTACAAAAAGTAATTGCTTTGTATCTCATATTTTTATTGACTGACTGGATGTTTTTGACAGTAAAAATAATGGTAACATCTTGAATAAGACTGAAATGTGTATCAAACGTGACGTTTAATCAGTTATAAACAAGTAAATTTTTTCTCTCGACCCGTAGAGATACTTTTGTAGAGTTTAATTGTCTTAGTCAGTTACAAATCGAATGTTATGTCTTTAAAATCTTCTCATATATAACAAGAGTTTTAGTCGACATCACCAAATGATATATTTAATATTTACTTTTGTAGAAATCGCATAGGTGTCCAAAAAAAGTAGTGAATACAAGTTTTAAGTTGAGATTTTGAATTCCATTATACGCTTTAGCAGTTGGACTCAATGGTCAAAGATAACATTTCATACGAGTCCTTTCCTACCAACCGTGAACAACAAACATCAGACATTTTTCGCATAGCTTCATAGCAGCGAAAAACAATGGCGAACAGCATAAACAAAAATGCGTAGTCTATTGTGGATTATTTTAAAGTCTTCCTTGAAATTTAAATAGCTGAAATCCGTTGTTGAATGTTGTGAATAATTCCAATTACTGAGTTTTAGATTGAATAAACAATTATGTGATAAAGATCAAGGATGATGGTTAGTAATGTATTGATTGCGCATGGCCGTTATATGACCAATATAAAAAAACGTGAACTGATCAAATTCTAACTTTCGAGAATAGTCAATATCAGTATGATTCTGACTTTATCGAGATACTTAATAGTGCATTAAGATCTACTTTATACACTAAGGATGTGTACAACCGACTTGTTTTTCAATTAAATCAAAAGGTGAAAGATTAATAAAGAAAAGAAAAATAAAATAGATAAAGAGTAGAAAGCGACAAGGTCAACAGATTATAGGGCGCCAGTAGAAAAAAACTTAAAAGAAAAAAAATTCCGTTCGAAATGCAGAACGAAGTAAGACAGATCGTTTTTATGACAATCGATTATCATTGAAAAGAAGCTATTTTGCTGTTAGAGATTTTTTTTTTTTTTTTTTTAGTGTTTGATATTAAGTAAATGAAGTTAAAGAAGATATGTCAGTTCAACATTTTGCTTCCCTGTGGCTGCGCTGACAAGTTTATTTTTATATTGAAGTTAAAAGAATTTTGGGTGTCAATATTTTTTGTTTTGGATTTTTTTCCCGATTTACAATTAACAGTTATGCAATAAACCAATAAAATCATTACTCGAATAGACTTGATGTTTTTTTTGCGGATACTTAGGACGATAAAATATCTAACTCATCGGTACTATGAAAGTTTTAGATCATATTACATTATTTCCAACCGAATGTGATAAATACATCAATAGCAAAAAAAAGTTCGAATTCTACAAAGTGTGAACTAAGTTTTAAGAATTGATTCATCGCTGAGAAGGATTTGTCAGAGAAGAAATAATGAAATTCACATTATTAAATATTTGATAATCAAAATATATGTTTACAGTGCAAACGTACATTCATATGGTCAATATTATAAATTGAAATTGTCTAAAAAATATTTTTCCGCATTTGAATTTTAAAGTTTGGAGCAGACAGAACAGCTACATAATCATGCACACATCTCATCTTGTCAGTAACAGATATATAGATTCTTCGATGTTGATATATAACTGCGTCAATATTTTTTTCTTTTATCAAAATTTTAAAAATGAATAGTTCAAGCTCATCTTATCCAAGTTTTTCATCATTAGACTTATATTACCTTTCAGTTTCATCGAATATTTTTCTTTATGGATATATAATTATGATGATTATTGGATTTACTGGTAATATTTTTCAAATAATGATATTTTCACGTAAAACTATGACAAAGATGAGTACTGGCATTCTTTTTCTTGCATTAAGTGTGTCCAATACAGTTTATCTTTTATTATCTTTATATGTTTTAATCATTTATGGTTTTAATATTCCTGATCAATCAAATTATGCCAAAGTATGTCAATTTCGACATTATATGTATTATCTTTCAACAAACTTTAGTGCATGGATGCTTACTACAAGTAATTTCTTATAAATTCAAAATAAATAACATATTTTTGTTTCTCTATTATAGTTTCATGTGATCGTTGGATACGTTCACAATTTCCAATAAAAGCTAAACGATTTTGTACACCGCGAACAGCTATTTATTCAATTATAGTTGTACTTATCTTTAATTGTCTTTTACATGTTCATATTATTACACCAATGTTTGGTCAAATAGCACCTGAAATAAAAACAAATTGTGGTGCTAATAGTCGTTATCCAAATTATTCATATTTTTATATTGAAATTTGGCCAATAATTACTCTTCTTACTGTTAGTATTATTCCAGCAAGTTTTATGATATTTTTTCTTATAAGTATAACAATAAATGTACACACTCGTCAAAATCGAATTATTCCTGTTCGACAAACAAATGTAAACCAACATGAAAGACGACATACACGTTTTCTTCAACGACAAATGTTAATACTTATGCTTGCTACTTTGATGCTTTTTTTTCTTACAACACTTCCTGTTGCTTTATTGCATTTTGCAATATCTACTTTGAAGATTCCACAATCATTTTCATTTAGCCTTCTATTAATATCTGTATTTGAATTTATAACAGTATCATATTATTCATTAAATTTTTATTTACATTGTTTGACGTCAAAATTATTTCGGAAAGTATTTTTTAAATGTATTCCATGTTCTATTGCAATAAATTTTCGTCGATCAAATCATACTTCTAATGTAAATCTTACTTAACAAAATACAACTCGCCAACAACAAGGAACTGTTACATAGTTAATGAAACAACTCATCCAATAGTAATTAAAAATAATTTTGTATCATCTGCCTGAATTTGTTTTCTTTTTTGGAAATCAATTAATATAATTATCGAATGATACATATAAAAGAGAACATCGATTGATTATTGTACAAGTACTATCTTAGTTGATGTTAAATATTTTGATGTTGTGTTGCGAATCGAAAATATTAGGATTAAAATATCATAATAAACTATGTGATCTATTAATCACAAAATGTAAAAATTTATTTCTAAAGTCTTCAAAATATAAATTCAGATGGTTGTGATAAAATGAATTTTTGCGTTTAGTTTGTTGATAAATCAATATTTTCTTTGCATTTTTTTGATGTGGATACTGATCCAACTGATGAGAAAATTAGTCCAACTGTAAATCATCATTTAAGACTATATTGGATCGACAAGAAGGTCTCAGTAAGACTAGAAAAGTCTGAAAGAGAGGTTCGTTTTCATAACCCCTTTGAAACTGAGTTATGGTTGTTGCACACCTATGTTTAAGTATTTATTGAAAAGTCAAATAACGAAACTCTCGTCTAAACTTTTGTGTGTAGATAGGCCTAATGATTCTTAGAATATTCTGAAAGTTTCGCTCCCCAAAAAAATGTTCCTTTATTGAGATATTGAATTATCAAGTAAATTCGAGTTTTTTTTGTGGCAAACGACTATTTTTTGCGGATATTAATTATTTCGACAAAGAAACATTCTTTTCTACTGAAAGTTTCAGAATATTATAATAGTTATTGGATTTATTAATGGGCTAAATGTCCACTTAAAATTTTACCTCTAGATTTTTCAGTAAATGTCTAAAAAATGGGTCGAAAATTTAATGAAACACAGATAACTCGCCTCCGAAAGAGCATGAGAAGGAACCCTATTGGAATTTCTCTAGTCTTACTGATACCTTCTTGTAGGTCCAGTTTGAGCTCAAATGACGGGTTACAGCTTGAGTAGTTGCCTTGTCAGTATAATTTTTCATTGCAAAGAAACATTCAATCATGTCTTCTATTTTTTAAAACACAATTTAATTTTCTTGTCGAGATAACTCCATATGAGCCAGTTCCGGCTGAAAAAGATTGAAAATCGATGGAACTTGGAAACATCGTTCCTAGCAGGAAAATCCTCGCGTTTTTCCACTGACTGCCTATCAAATTGCTGTTATTTTCGACGGCCAATAACCAGAAATTACTGGAAACATCTGGAGACGTTTTCGTCCAAAATAGTGCTGTCATGTTCCATCGATTTTCAGTATTTTTCGGTCGGATATGCTAGTTTTTCAGCAGCTTTCTGATCACTTCTGAACAAATTCACTTGTTTCTAGAAATTGAAATGATCGATCTAGGTCCATTCGTTTTTAATACTGGATTGAGTTTCGTGTTCAAGTATTAGATTATCAGAAAAAAATTCTGTCTAACGCCTTGATGAACAACATGATAATGAAGAAACGATATTAACTGTCTTTAAATGTGTGCTAAACGAGTTAACTTCTGATGACAGTTCAATCATTAATACAAAAATTAATTATTCAGTTGGTCAACCTGACTGATATTTAACAATCTTCTCCTTTTTAAGGTCATGAACTTTTATTTCCAGTACTTTTTCTTTTCCGTAGAAACAGAAAATCTGAGTCAGACAACCAAACTTGAACTGTTTTTTTGCTATTAAATTATTTTGGCAAAATGAAATCTGACTAGTCGTTTCATCAACTCGTAATACTTATATTTCAATTACTATGCCTTAATATTTCTATTGAGTTTTTGTTCTCCTGTCTGATAAACGATGTTTGACACTTTTGTGACACAAGGTGTGTATGAGCTGTAGGTCACGTTGAGTGTGGATATGTAGCTCTGGATGTACGCGAATTTTCGGACGTGGAGTTGAGATATCAAGATAAGATCTACCTTCATAGTCTTGCCTTAATATCCTGAACTTTGAAGATATATCAGTTTCGAGTGGGATATTCATCTTGTTATACTAGACTGACTCAAAATCATTAAGTTAGCAGCACATGAATACTGTAAATTCGTTAATTAAGCAAATATCCTAATAGTTATGTTGTGAATCTTGATATCCGAGTTACGAATATTATGACATCCTTCCTTTAGTTAGTGCTTGAAATTAAATAACTATTCTTAGCAATAAAATATAATGCATCTCAATACTTTTTGAATATCTCGAGAACGAAAGTAGATTGAAATCTACGATTTTTACAACTCGAAAGAAAGATGTAAGAAAAATGAAACTGCTGAATTAGCTGGACTATGTATTGGTCAAGTTGATGAGTTTTATCCGTAGATATTGACCAGAGGTTTTCGAAAAAGCTTTCTTATCTAATGATGAGTTCCGATTAAAAGAGTCAATAGCGCAAAAAAAATATTCTCTGTCGATATATGCCAGGCCAATCCTTCTAGTTTATTGCATTTAGGTGTTATAAGCGTTTTACTGGTAGCCTCGAAGTCGACCAACGGACCACTGATCACTCTAGACTCTATTGAGCTTGGTGCATTCACCTACACAAAATTTAATTATGGTATATGCTTTTGGTTTCAATATAATCATAAGTTGCTAGATCATGACTTTTTCAATTCAGTCTGCAGAAAGTTTTCAACGTTATTTGGGGTATCTTTAAGATCTTTTTCTTCCAACCTCAGATCATTTGAGAACTAAAAAAAGATACGAGTATTAGGCTTAACGTAGCCGAATACACCAAACTCAATACAGTCAAGAGTGATTAGTTGTCCGTTGGCTAATTTCAAGACTTCCAGTAAAACGTTTATAACTTCTGAATAGAATAAGCTAGAAGGGTCAGTTTTTGTGTAAATCGGCAGAGGTTTTTTTTGCTCTTGATACCCTTGATCATAACTTATTATTAGTTCATGAAGTGTTTTCGAAAACTTTTGTTCAAAATCTAAAGCTAAAACTTACCAGTTTAAACAATACATAGTGCATATTATTCAGCGAAGCTTTACTTCCTCGATATTTTGCTTTCAAATGGTCAAAGTCGCAGGTTTCTATCAACTTTCGTTCTCAAAATATCAAGGTGTATCTTTTTTTCTCGTCAAGCATAGCTCTGTTCATTAAATCGTACAGATAATCTTTAAATAGTGCTTAAAATTAAATAGCTATCCGCTTCAAGATATACAGGCTAAATAAGTAGCTCACGGTTTATGAAAATTAATTATCTCGTCACAAATTATCTTACACATAGCAACTCACTATATTTAGCAGTTTTCTTTATATAAAAATTCTCCGAGACTTTTGACATCAACTATATATTTTCATTCAAATTACCTAGAAAATATATTGTGACATTTTTTTAGAAATCTTAATGTTGACAGAACAGTTGTCCTATTACCCACAAAATTTATTTTTTTAATAACATAGTTACAAATTCTTTGACACGTATATATTTAAGGAGCTATTTTCTCTTTAATCAATATTATAAATATGAACAATTCAAATTTATCTTATCCTAGTTTTTCATCTTTGGATTTATATTATATCTCAATTTCATCGAATATTTTTCTTTATGGATATATAATTATGATGATTATTGGATTTACTGGTAATATTTTTCAAATAATGACATTTTCACGTAAAACTATGACAAAGATGAGTACTGGCATTCTTTTTCTTGCATTAAGTGTGTCCAATACAGTTTATCTTTTATTATCTTTATATGTTTTAATCATTTATGGTTTTAATATTCCTGATCAATCAAATTATGCCAAAGTATGTCAATTTCGACATTATATGTATTATCTTTCAATAAATTTTAGTGCATGGATGCTTACTACAAGTAATTCCTTATAAATTCAAAATAAATAACATATTTTTGTTCCTCTATTATAGTTTCATGCGATCGTTGGATACGTTCACAATTTCCAATAAAAGCTAAACTATTTTGTACACGACGAACAGCTATTTATTCAATTATAGTTGTACTTATCTTTAATTNTCAAGCCTATATAAATGCTAAATACAAAATATTCCAAAACTTTTCGAACACCCAGTATATCTATTATGGTTACTTGCCATATATATTGACGTGATCACAAATGAAGAAATAATCGTATTAGGAAAAGGAATTATGCATATTAAATATCTATTTACTTTTTTGGCTATCATTTAAAAAAAAAATTTCCAATTTCAAAATCGATTCATACTTCTTACGATTGCTCCTATATTCTATCTCAATAAAGGGTATGTCTTATTGATCTCTATTGTACAACAAACCTTAGTGTTTATTCTTTTTTTTTTTTTGTTACTCTTAAATACATAGATATGTGAATTATTAGCTAGACTAAGAAAGTGTGAGTAATGATAACATAGTGATGCTTTATCATATTGATGAGTCTCTTTAGAAAAAGTAACATATAAACAGACTTGAGAAAGAAAAAAGCAAATATAAACATGATAGATAATACTATTTTCGAAATTAATCAAAGAGAAAAATTTGTAAAAGAAAATAATTATTTATCATAAGTACAAAAAGATTACCATTTATTTTCGACTAAGATTTATTCTTTAAATATGCAGAATATTTTCAGAAAAACAAAGTCTAAAAACAATATATATCTTCATATTTCTTTTCATAGAATCTACGATATTATTTCTCTTTGTTTAAATTTACTATTTTCATACAAGTAATTAAATCAATTTTGACAATATCGTGTCATCATTGTTTAATATCTATTTGATGACGAATATGCTTGATTCCATAAAGAAAAAATAAAAACTTCTTTTTCTATTTTTAAAACGTAGTTCGATGAGTGTAATCAAATTAATCATATAATGAATATAAATTGCTAATTTCTTTTTTCTCTCAAAAGACTCTTTCTATCGTAAATAAAAATAACGATAAATCAAAATCAATTATTATCATTTATTTAGGCATACATAGTAATCTCATATGTTTTACAGCATCTTAAAACAACAGAAT